ATAATTCTCTTTGTACTTAAGGAATCGAGCTGAAATAGTGCTTCTGATCTACATTCTTGACGTAGTATATGCACACACATTTTCAGGTCTTCAGCACCTATTATGGCTGAGATCCTCTCGGAGGAAGATTTTTGTCGTCTACTGTAATTGCAGTCTCCCAATTATATATAAGTTACGATAAGTTCAATTTTTTGAAATGGCGACAATTTTTCATATATATCTTTCTGATTGTTTAGTTTATGTATTTTAAGATCTAACTAATTAATGAAATTGTACATTATTCTGTTGAAAAAATTTTTATTTTCGAATTAAAATTAATAATAAAATATTTGATTTCTATTTTCTTGGTTTTAGTTTCACACTATCAACATGAACGAAATATGTTTCTCTTAATAGCATGTGATGCTAAATATATAGTTTGTTTTAAAAGTCAACTTAATCGATTAGATAAATGGCAATTAGGTGCTATTGAACGTGGTTTTCATAAAGAATATTCTCTCGATTGGCATGATGGTCTTATTATATCTATGGGTTCTATTACAAATGGTAGAATTTATATGTTTACAGAACGTGAATTTTATATTTATTCACTTAATCAACGTCGTAAACTTCATACACGTATGTTACCACGTGGTGATGATGATGGATTAGAAGTAAACCATCCTCGATATAATGAATTTTACCGTGGTATTGGTACTGTATATAATGAACATATGTATCATATTTATTTAAATCGTAATAGTCGTTGGACATTATCAAAAATTATTGTTGAAAATTTAGCTCATATATATGATTATGATTTAACATCTATATTTCCTGATGTAAGACGTTTTATACATATATGTGTTAATGAAAAAACAATTAATATTCTTGTTCAAATGAATGATTCATCATATGGTGTTGTATTTTGTCCAACAAATGGTCAAATAACAAATGATAAATTACAATCAATTATATTACCTCGTGCTGAACAACCATTAACAATTTGTTCAGCATTTATTGAAATTTTAAATCAATATATTTTTTTTATTAATGATCCATCACATGATATTTTACATATATTAAGTATAGAACAATATTTAACATCTTATTCAGTTGATTGTTATGCTATTTGTTATGTTGCTAATAAACATGAATTAATAATTGTAACAAATACTTCCATATCTTCAATAAATTTAAATCAATCAAATTTATTTTTTCGAAATTTTCTATGACATATTTATCAGATGTATAGTGTTTCTTGTTTTTGTTGTTCTTTTTCATACATCATTAAGTGATTTCATTTCTATATAAAAACAACATCTCTGTTCTTTTCATCTTTATTTGAGCACAGGTTTTTTTTTTTTTATTAAAGCATGAAATAAAGAAAATAAAAACAAACAAATATGATTTACCAACGATATAGTTTAGATTATTCTATGATTAATCAAAAAAAAAAAACTGATTTAAAATAATGACAATTGGTAACAAAAAATTAATTGGAAATGCACATTATTGGTGTACATATAAAACCGTATTCTGATTGTTTTTATTCCTCATGTTGGTCTATTCTACTAGCAACATTCTTTATGTATTAAAATACCAATGTGAAATTTCAAAAGTGTCTATTGTGATAAATCTTAAATGAATTTTTTCAACACTTCTGTTTTCAAATGGATAAACTTTGCATACTCTTATATATAAAAATTCATTATTAGATTTAACTGCTATATAAATTCATGATAAATCAACTGCTGCTTATGGATAAGGTTTTGTTTCATAAAGTACACTTGCTCATTGGGTTTATTGATTTTTAAGTAGACAAGAATCGTTGGAAGATGATCCTCGAAATGGTCGTTCAATAACTGTCATTACTCAACGAAATATTAACGATGTCAACAACCTGGTGAATAGTGACCCATACATGATTGTCGATTATATTATTGCCATCTTAGATACAGTTATCACATAAACTATTGTAATGCTTACTTAAAGATATTACTCAAAAATTTACATAAGAAAAAACCATCATCATCAACAACAACAACAAATAGCATAAATTTGCAATATAAAAATGCAGAAAAAATCAAAGTTATGGCACATCCATCATATTCACCTGACTTAGCTCCTTCACACTTTTAACTATTTAATTGTCTGAAACGTAGTCTTGATACATATCCACATGCTACAAGTTTAGGTAAAACAATGACCAAGAAAATCAAAAGACATTTCAGAAGTGGATTGAAAGATATTAATTGTACAAAGATTAACAAAAGTTTTTTTTTTCTATGAATAAATATTTGAAAGTTCGAGAACTTTTTGACTAACCTATGTAAATACTGAACAGTAAGTCTTCAACATAAAGTCCACTAATTATGCTGACATCCGCCTTTGCTACAACATTGAGACACTAATTCTATCAAAAAATGTTTTGTTTGTAGCTATGTACTCTAGTGTTTGAGTGAAGACTAGAGACCTGCGGAGGACTCCGAAACCCGATTCCGACTCCGACGGAGCCGGAGTCGGAGTCAGAGTCGAGTTTGCTGAAAAAAAATTTTCGGGTTCGGTGTCGGAGTTGGAGTCGAAGTCAGTTACAAGTTCGACTCCGATATTTTTTTTTCGATTTACCAAAACTTAATTTTTAACATTAGTAAATAGAAAAATAAAGCATAATATCTGTCATATAGATTTATATCACTTGTAGGACAGAAAGATGAGCGAATCACTTTCCAGTTATAACACTCGAATGACCAAGTGAGATGAAAACATAACAACATTAGTCAAAAAAGATAAATTAATGTCATTCAAAGTACTACGACTATCTTCATCATTAGTTCTTCCTTGTTTA